CTGTTATGTACAATTATGATGCACAAGTAAACACAACTTAAAAATTTCTACAAGGAGCAGAAACTTGGGTTGAGACTATCCCCCTCCCCCTGAATGCCCCACCTCCTGAGCTGGCTTTCTGGTGCAGTGGGAGCCTGTCCCCCAGGTCCCTGGGACAAGGGCGGGGCTGGGGGGATCACAGTGTGCCTTGTGCTCTCCTGGTGGCAGGTCCCCAGCCCCAGGGCTCTGAGCCATGCTCCACCCCCTGGCCCTGGCTGAGGCTGGCCACACTGCCGCCCAGCTTCCGCGAATCCAATGTCATCACCTAGGCGACCGGACGCTGCTGCCACTGCCGGTCTGCGGAGCCAGGAGCCCAAGGCCTCCCGGCCACCTCTGCCTGGCCCCACCGACTCTCCCGGGGCCCCAGCTCAGCCAAGGTAGGCGTGGGCTCTGCTGCCTCCTCCTGCCCCAGTGAGCAGCTCCACAGGTGCCCTGGGTTGTGGAGCCCCCTCCTCACTGCCTCCCACCGGTGCCCAGAATAAGGTGTGGTGTGGGCAAGGGTGTCAGGCAGGGCTGGTGGAGACCTGCCTGTAGCTCCCCTGAGGGGACAAGCCACTGTGGCGTGGTGCTTTTGAGAGCCATCGGTCCGCAGTCGGGTGGCAGGATTTCTCATGTGACCCTGAGCTGGGCAACAGGGCCAGGAGCAGAGTAGCTCTGGTGACACTTCCCCCTGAGACCTGCTGGAAACTCCCACCCCCTGCCAAGGGGGCACTGAGCAGCTGCCCAACGTGACTACATCCGGGCGCTGACCCTCCTGGAAGCCACCACAGCTCAGCCTCGTGGCCAGCCCAGAGTCCCCCAGCTCTCCCCAGCTCCCTCCTGTCCTGTGGCACTGCCAGGCCCTGGCCTCCCAGGCGCTCACCCACTGCCTCCAGCCAGACCAGTGTGTGCGCTCGGCCAGCCTGCTCCCTCTGCCTGCGTCCACCCAGCACTGCCGTCCTGCGCAGCGATGGACGCCCCGGCCAGGGAGTCACGCAGTCCCACCTGAGACGGGGGTCCTCTGGGGTGAGGAGGGCTGTGTGCTGTGGGCCCCGTCCAAGTGCCGGTGGTGAGAGGTGGGTGGGGAAACCAGCTGCCCCTTCTGTCTTGTCCCCTCCTGGGCCTCTGCTCAGTCCTGGCCTCTGCAGGCCTGCTGGATGGACCTGGTCTAGGGCCAGGGCTGGGGCCTTTCTGACTTGCTCTGTCCCTTCAGGTGTGTTTCCCTGCGGCTCTGAGGGTCTCATCCCTAGAGCAGGTGCTAGCAGGGCCAGTGAGAGCCGCGGGAACGTTCTGGATCCTCAGCACTTTCTCCCTGAACTCTCAGCAGATGAAGCCCACGGGAGGGGAGAGGTTCCCCCACGTGGCTCTTCCCCAGGACTCATGCTGACCTTCCCTGACCTGCAGCCCCTGCCCGCTCAGACTGCCCAGTCACTCTGTCTGAGGTCTGACTGCACTAAGCACCCCTCGGACCTGGGGTGATGGCAATGAGCAACACACACTGGACTTCTAGCATTAGATCCCGAAACGCACGTTGGCGTCTCCCCCTGCAGAGGAGCTGAGGGACCCGTGGGGACCGAGGGGGCCATCCAGGGCCTAAGGAGCAAGGCCTCTGCAGCTGCCCCTCCTGGTCCTGCTGCTGGTCAGGGACTCTGCTGGACTTGGCCTGGGGGCTGGTGGGGAGTGTAGGGGCCCTTGGCCCCCTCCAGGTCCCACCAGGCAGGGTCAACTGGAATTTGCCTGGGGGGCAGGAGTGGGTGAGACCCTCAAGAAGGGTGGGGGTAGATGCAGGGAGTGCCCAGAGCAGGCCGCCCTCCAGGTGGGGCAGAATGGGGGCGAGCCATGCCGACCAGAGGCAGCTAGAGCTCAGGTGGCAGATGGTCACGGCAGTCACCTTGCACCCCTCATACCACCTCGTCCAGGAATCTGCTGGAAGCTTGGCATAGATTTGTCCTGCAAGGAGGGTGAGCGAGGCGGCCTATTTTGGGGACTGGAAAACAGGTGGTGGGGGCTGCAGGCAGCTGACTCTGCTGGGTGGAAGGATAGACTGAAAGGGCACGAAGGTCAGAGAGAGCCTGGGCCCAGGGTCGGGACACGTGCTGGTGGCTCCCCGCTTCCACCTGTGTCCCCGTCACTGTGTGTCCATGCCCTCCTGCCCTCACCCGACCCTCACCAAGGCCAGTTTCATTTCCCACCAGCCCCTGGCCCACAATGTGCCCACAGGTGACCTTCCCCAACCAACCCCACTCCCTTCCTGAGGCTGGAATCCCCTCCTTGTCCCCGAAGTGCACGGACACAGGTTCAGAACCAGCCAGGGTCCAGGGAGACCTCCACGCAGAGCCCAGGCCTGCCTCTCTGCGACCTGGAGGGCTGTCGGGTCCCCAGCCCAGCCCCCTAGCTCTCTGTCAGCTGTACGACCCTCAAAATTGCAACCCACTGTGGACGTTGGCCTGCTTTTAGGCTGAGCCAGCCTTCCTCTTCACCCTCCGTGCTAGGGGGCAAAGCTCTTTCTCCCTGTATCTCGCTAGAAGGCTCTCCCAGAGAGTGCCACTGCCTGGTGGGAGGGGTCAGGCGGACCTCACTGGAGTTAGACTCAACCCAGCCTTGGCACTTTCAAGCTGTGTGGCCCTAGGCGAGCTGCTTGCTCTCTCTGTGCCATGTAAGTACTCCTGGAAACTCACTCCTGGGTTACTGTGTGGGTTGCAGGTATTCCCAAATACAGCCTTCGCTCCGGGTGAAGGTTGGCACTGTTGAGTGTCCAGAAAGTTCTGGTGGTCCAGGGCCCAGGAGTGGGCAAGGGGAAGCAGACAGAGTTGCTGGAGGGGGGGACAGATGGTCAACACTCATGGCAACTTGGGGGCACATCCAGTGTGCGACTTGGCAGGAAGGTGGCATTCAGGGGCAGGACCAAGCCTCGGAACAGGAGCAAGGGACTGTGCGGAGGCTCCTAGAGACTGACAGGTGTCTGAGAGGGTGTAATCACTCCGACCTGGGGTGGGTGGTCGTCAGCCATGGGTGGAGCCCAGAGGCAGGGAGGAAGGGACCTGGCCAGGACTGGGGCACAGCAGAGAAGAATGTGGGGGGTGACCAGAGAGTGTGGCCAGTCGGGATGTCAGCTTGGGAGTGAGGACCAGGGGGGACTGAAGCACTGGAGAGCTTGTCTCAGGAGAGTGTTCCAAAGGACAGTGCGGGCCCCTCCGACTGGCACCGCCACACTTTCTGCCCCATAGGGAGCCCTTGGGGCAGAAAGGGGACCAGGACAGGAGGATTTGAGTAAAGAGGCCTGGGGACCTGGCAGCCTGTGGGCGTGGGGTGGCACAGGAGGGAAAGGCTGTGGGTGGGGCTGTGACCACTGGCATGAAAACCTGCCTGCCCTCACCAGTCCCCTGTCCTGCCGGGGCCCTTGTCCACTCAAATGCCCACTCTGACTGCAGGCTCCTCTTCCTCCCAGCCCTTCACCTGCCCCTCTTCTGTCCGTGGCAGTCAGCCATCCTGCAGCTCTATCTGCGCCCGCCAGGCTGGCCTGAGCTAATCGCTGCCCGCACTCCACTCCCACAGCCCCGCCCGGGGCCACTCTGACAGGTGGCTGGTGCTGCAGGGAGGCTGCGCTTGGCTGCCCACGCGGCTCGGCAGGCCACTTCTCCAAGCCACGCTTGACTTGGCCCCTTCTTGGAAGTCCACACCATGGGCCTCCTGCCTCTGACTCACCCTCTGTGCTCACCTCCCCACTTAAGACACGGGGCTGGGGACGCCCCTTCTCCCTCACACCAGCTTCAGCCTCTGCTGGGACGGATGTTGGGCCCCACTGTTAGAGGGGGCTCCTCCTCCAGAGATGACGGTGGGCTGGGCTCCGCAACAGGGTGCTCATAGCCGCTTTCTGAGAGTGGGGAGCGAGGTGCTGATGGGGGTGGCTGGGGCCGGACCCGGCTTCCTCCCTCCTCTGCGGCTCCTGATGCTGAGGAAGCCTTGGTCAGCTGCAGAGTCTGCGTGTCTGCACTTGGGCGTGCCCTCGATCCGAAGCCTGCCTGGTGCTTTTGCCTTTTCTAAGCATTGGATGCCCCAGGCGCATCCGGGACGGGCTCCACAACCACCCCACTTCACAGGAGAGGAGTAGAGGCTCAGAATGGGCCTGGCAGCTGCCCAAGGTCACACAGCTAGAGAGCAGCAGAGGTGGGCTGTGTGGACAGAGGGAAGAGGGACCTGGTTCATGGGACAGGCAGGACTGAGCTGCAGGGCACGGAAGGGTGGGGCAGGTGTCATGTGTCCCAGCATGACCCCAGCATGTGGGGGGGAGTGGGGGGGAAGAAGTCCGAGGCAGGCCAGTAGAGGGCAGGGGCGCCCCAGGATGTCTGGACGCAGGTAGGGCCTCCCGGTGCTGGTGAGAAAAGAGAAGTGGGAAGGGACTTCCCAGGCACGGTGTGCGGTGGGCTGCGCAGGTGGCTGGGCAGGTGGCTGGGCAGGTGGCTGGGCAGGTGGGGAGGGGCCCGAGGCCCAGGCCGGCCTTGTCACCACAGCTCAGTGAGGCCAGCCGGGGCAGACACCGGGGTTGAGAGCCCAGCTTCTGGACTCCACTGTGCCCCTGGACCCGCTGGGTGCCACTCTGCACCATTCACAGTTGGTAAAAGGAGACTCCAGGTCGTGGGGTCACCAGCCTTCTGGGGATCAGCGATGCTTTATGTTTATGTCACTGGGCCTCTGCCATGGTGGCTGGTCTGAGGCAGCGTCCTCCCGTGGGGCCTCAGGACTTGGTTTGGTCCGGGAAGCTTGTCAATCACGGTCTCCTTCCAGAAGTGCAGGAAGCCCTGGTGGTCAGGGCCCAGCCTCCCGCAGGTACTAAGCCAACTGTTGGGTTCAGGTGGACTGCAGGCCCGCCTCTACCAGAGGGAGGCCACGGTGAGGGCGCGGGATCCCTCCAGCCTCCACTCCCATCCCCCTTCCCATGGGCCAGGAGCAGAGAGGGAGCTTAATCGGGCGCCCCAGCTGTTTTCGGGTTTCACACACTGTGCCCTCCCCCGGGGCGGGTGGCTAAATTTGTCTTCCATCTCTGTGCTTGGCTCCCTGGACCAGGGGAGAGGGCACAGCGGCCGCCGTGGGCAACGCGAGGGGCTCACCTGCGGGGGGAGGCTGTTTGGCAGCCCTGCTGAGGGTGCCGGCCCCCTCCCACCCCACTCAGGGGACAGGGACGGAGTCTGCCACATGGCCTGGGACCATGGACAGGAGGGGCAGGCAAAGGTGGCCGCTGCCCAGGCACTGAGGAAGGCGACATCATTCCAGGAGGGGGACCCTGGCCCTGGCCCACCAGGTGAGAGCAGCCCCCACCCCACCCCGGGGGCCGGGGAGCCAGGCTTCAGCACAGGCCACCGCGAGCCCGCTCTGGCCCCCCTGCTGCAGTGTGGCTGTGTGGCCGCAGGAAGCGCCGCCATTTCCTGGGAGAGCCGGCTGCCTGGCTTCCTCCCCCCGTGATGCCGCCTGGACCCTCTGCACAGGCCGGGGCTCTTATGGGCACTGAGGCCTTTTGTACGTCCCCTTGAGAAAAGGCCTCAGAGGAATTGAAATGGCCCGGGAGGGGTGTCCCTGGGATGGCCTGAGGCCTATCTGCCATTTTAGATCTCACTTTGACTTGGTGACTGAAATAAAGGGTGGAATTCGTCGTGGGAAGGGATCTGGGAGAGTGACCACCCCTTAACTAAGAGCTGACCGTAGGCAGGGTACTTGAGGGACGGCACAGCAGGGCAGAGCCCTCCTGAGCCTCCCCTACTTTACGGGCCTGCACAGAGGAGGCCTGGCCTCCTGTCCTCACCCTGGAAAGGCTGGTACTTGGGATTCGAGGGGCAGGAGGGGTGCAGACTGGGGCTCCACCTCTCCTGTGCTCGAGTGAATGTGGGCAGCTCTGCCTCGGATCTGCTGAGGGAGGGTGGGCACCCAGAGCCCTGGGGCCAAGCCTGGCGGGCTGGAGGGGATGTCCCCATGGCTGGGCTCAGCTGGGGGTGGATGGGGTCTAGTTTATCAGAGGTGCTTTAGGAGCCTGTCTGTCCTTCGCCGGGGCAGAGAGGTGGCAGGAAGTCCCCAATTTTGTCTAACTCAGGCTTCCGTGTGGGCCACATGCAGGTAGCACCCATGTGCCAATGGATGAGGGACAGGCTGGGCACTGAGATTCAGAGTCAGCAAAGGGAGCTTCCTGCAGGGGCTGGGCCCTGACCTGGCATGGCCTGGGGGATCCAGATACAGGGAGGCCACACAGCCCGGTACCTGGAGGCAAGGGACAGGGAGGAGATGTGTGGGAACAGGTGAGGAGCCTGAGGAGGGGACGTTAGGGACAGGGAAGGAGGTCCAGGAGTGGTGACTATATGGGAGGCTCTGGAGAGGAGACCAGGTGAGATGGGCAGGGTAAGAAGGTGGAGAGCCAGGGGTCCACCAGGGCAGCCAGCTCTTCCTCCCGGGTGCAGAGAGGCCACAGTGGGGCGGGTGAGGCCCTTGGCAGACCTGGGTGCCTCTCCAGTCCTGGGTGGGGCCTCTGGTGGCTGCTTGCTCATCCCTGAACTGGGCGGCCTCTCAGGGCTGACCTGAGAGCCCCGTGAGCAGAGCACTCGCCAGCACTGTAGAAGCTGTGACCACAGCCCCTGTCTCCACAGTGGCCCTGGAAATTCTGCAACAGCGGCCACCGGGGGCCTGTAGGGTTGGGCAGCACCCCCTTCCCACCCAGAGGCTGTGAGCACGTGCCCCTACCCACCGTGACAAGGAAAACACCCCAGAGGAGGCAAGCGCCCCCAGGGGCTGATTGCTAAGCTGAGAACCACTTGGATGAGACCCCAGGGGACTCGGTGAGTCAAAACGAAAGTCGCCAGGCTTGCTCTCAGCCCACGAGCCTGGGCCAGCCCTCGGGGCCGCGGGCTCCTCTCCAGCACTGCACCGGCTCTGGTGTCCGGAGGCACTGGGGGCCCAGCTGTGGGTCCTGAGCCCCTTCTTCTTGTGACCCCCGAGTCACAAATGCTGCCAGGATCCCCTGGGTGCCGCAGGTTGGGGACCTGCAGCAGAGGGCTCCGTGGCTGAGGTCTGGGTTTGGCTCAGAGAGTCCTCAGGTTTCCTCCTGGTCCCAGTCCCACAGGAGCCACACAGGTCACCTTGCAGCCAGCAGGCGACTTCGCTGCAGCCTTGAGGGACCCTGAGGCAGGCCTGGGCAGGGTCAGAGGGCCCTGTTCCCTATGTGTGCCTACAGTGTGTGACCTGGACACTGCATGGACAGGCACACACCACATCTGCCCTTCTCTGTTCAGGTCCCTGACCTGCTGGCCAGGGAGGGCCAGGGCATCACAGGAGGGGCAGCAGGTCCTCAGTGTCCTTGGGGTCATTCGGGGCAGGTCTCTGGGCCCTCACGTGCCAGAGAAGGATCTGAGCGGGTTCCCCCAGTGGAGGCTGCTGGCCACCTGCAGGGTGGACAGAGGCAGGCCCTTTGTGGCAGGGGGTGGCTTGCTCAATGCAGGTTCGTGGGCCCTGCCATAGACCCCACAGCAGGCAGGACGTCCTAGAGTGTGCATCAGGACCTGCACCCTGACCCCTGAAGTCACACCCTCCCGAAGCCAGATGCCCCCGTCCAGTCCCCTGCCTGTGGAAAGCCCCTGTCCAGCCCCGGGTGGATCTGGCTCCTGTGGTGCCTACAGATGCTCCTGGTGGTGGCAGCAGAGGCCCATGCTGAAGGCCGGGAGGGCGGTGCTGGGATGTGGGCCTGGCAGGGAAGGGAAGGAGACCAGCCTCTTGCTGGTGGTGCTGGGGAGCATGGGGAGCCCGGTGCCCACGGGGGCAGGTGGGAAGGGGTGTGGCCTAAGTGCGGTGGGAGGAGTTAAGATGATCCATCTGAAGACGCAGACAGAGTCCCCCATCAGGGTCCCGCTCGCAGGTGGTGTCCCCTGTGCAGTGCCCGGGGCCTGGAGGAAGGGGCCACACCCCCTCTCAACCCAGGCCCTGGGCAGGTGTGAGGGGGCCAGCAGCCAGGCACGGGCTCTGTCGCAGTGTCCCTCTGGCCTCAGTGCTGGGGGAGGCAGACAAGTCAGGAAGCAGGAGGACGCTGGGCAGAGCAGGGTGAGGAAGGAAGGGGGGCAGCTGTCGGGCTGGATGCTGGGGATGGCCTCCCTGGTGGCCTCCAAGCCCAGACCTGGATGCTGACAAGGGACCTTGGAGCGCCCAGGGCCCGAGGGAGTGGCGGTGCCCAGGCCTGGGTGCTGGTGGTGGGGAGGCGCACACTCTCCAGATGGGCTGGAGGAGCCAGGGAGGCCGGCGGGGGGGGGGGGCGCAGTGGCCATGGTGAGGAGGCTGGGGTTTGATGCTAGGCATGAGAGCTGCCCAGTGGGCAAGGAGGGACGTGCTCCAGTGTCCTGATCCTGTCGGGGAGTCTTGGCTTTGGGGGTAGGTTGGGGAGAGAGCTGTGGGATCCGCGGGACAGAGTCTGCTGAGCCTCCTGGAGCACAGTGACCCCGGAGAGACCCTCCTTGGCCTCCTCCTCAGCAGGCCCCGGGGACTCCAGTGCTGCTTACTTTCTGGGTGTGGGCCCCGCTGCCCCTCCAGGTACGCGGCTCAAGGGGTGGGGTTAGGGCCCCTGATGCTTCCCCAGAGGACCAGCCCTGCAGGTCTGTCCCCGAAAGGGAGCGGCCTAAGGTCAGTGCAGGTGCCCCCATGCTCACTGGAGAAGCCGGGTTGGCGTGGCGCTCAGGAGGTGGAGGTGCAGGTCAAGCCCACAGACCCGGATCTACTCCCGGGCTCTTGCTCACCTCCCCAGGCTGCTCCCTGGGAGGTGGTGAGGGGGAAGTGGGTGCACAGCCCGGACGGGGGTCTGCCAGCCCTCGCTCCTGTCCCCGTCAGGGGTGGTAGAACTTGGACGGGGCTCTGGAGGTGGCCTCTCCTCCAACTGGCCCGGGAAGTGCATTCAGAACGGGCTTGCGATGCCGCTGCTCCCACATGCTGCCCCAGCTTCTTTAAAAAGAAAAAAATGGGATTTAGTATTGAGACAAAATTCACCTGATATTCCCGCGGACACTTCAGCGTGTTCCGCCTGCTCTCCGCGATGCACAGCCGTCTCCTCCGTGTGGTCCCAGAGCGCTGTCGTCACCGCAGAAGAAAGCCCACGCCCGTTCCTCCCTCCCTGGCACCCGGTCAGCCTCCAGGACTGGCCACATCTCCCTTTGGGACCAGCCTCTTCCTCTGAGCATCCGTTTCTCAAGGTCCGTCCCCTTGCTGGAGACCTTGGTCCATCGCTCCTCTGCGGTGGCTTTTGGGCTGTCCGTCCCATCTGACCAAGGTGGACGATGCTGCTCTGGAAGCTCGTGAGCTTTTGCCACCTGTTCACCATGTGACGTTAGCGGGGTTACCTCTGCAAGCCGGATGGTCTGTCCACGAATCTGAGGGGGCAGGACCAGGCGGCTGCTGGGGGCGAGGCCTCCTGGGCTGTCCTCTGGGGTGTGAGCAGCCCAGCCATCCTCCCCGACTCACAGCTGGGTGCAGCCTGCAGGCCACCTCCTGCCCCAAAGCTGCTTCCCTGACAGGTGCTGTTCACCCAGAAAGGATGAGCCAAAGGGACCCACTGGGTCCCTGGTCAAGACACAGGTGCTTCAGGTCTGTGGGAGGGCTGGCCGTCTTAGCGTCCTCAGGCCGTCTGTGGCCAGCTGTCCTCGGGCTGGCTGTCTTAGCGTCGCTGCTCCCTGACTAACTCAGCCCTCAGGCCTCCCTTGGCCACTGCCAAGCCAGTCCCTTGTGGTGGCCTCCTGTCCCGTGCCACTCCTCTGAGCACTGGAGGCCTGGCACGTGTCAGCCCCAGAAGCAAGCCGCAGGCCTCTGTCAGCACCCGCCTGCCTGGGGACTGACCAAAGCGACAGATTGCAGGCCCTGCCCTGCCACCCCTGCCAGCCATGGGCAGGTCTGGGCCTGTCGGTGTGGGCACTGCAGGGCGTGGCCAAGTTGATTCCCACGGATCCAGGAGGCTGGCCCAGGGGGGATGGAGCCCTGGCCTGGGTGGGGGGCAGTGGGCAGCATGGACTTGGGTCTCTCTGTCCCCTCTTTCCCACTGCAGGACAGTGTGCCTGGCTGTGCCTGGCCTGGTCACTGCCACCTCCTCCTGGGTGGCCAGGGCCACTGCAGGGGTAGGAGAGCTGGTCACAGACACTTTCTGGAGAGGCCACTGTGAGGACAAAGGCCAGAGGATCTGGGATGGTGGTCAGGGCACCCCAATTTCTGGGATTCTCCGTTGAGAGACCACCCACGCAGGTCCTGGCCTTGGTGGGCTCCCACGTGGGGTGCAGTTTTGGCCTCCAGGTCCCAGGGCAGGACACCAGCTCAGAGCTGAGTGGCCATCTGAGACCCACAGAAACCTGGGTACAGAGACGCACAGACCTGGGCTGGACTCCAGCCTCAGGGGTGTCCCCACACATTCTCTTAACCAAGAGAGGGGATGGTCTGAGCCGGCTCAAGGTCCTGGGCATCAGGGAGCCTGTGTGGCTGGACCCCCAACCCTGGCCGGTCCTGAAGCAGCATTCATAGTGCTGACCCCTGTTGCTCATGCACAGCCTGACTGTGCCCCAGGTCCTGGCAAGGGCTAGATTCATCTCCCAGAGGGTGCCCAGCAGCCCTGGGGGGCTATTGCACCCCCACCTCCTGGGTGATGGCTCTGAGGAGCTGCTGCCTGCCCAGGGCACCCCAGCCAGGTGTGGATCCAGACCTGTCCAGCCCCTGCTGCCTACCGTGGCCTCTGTTTCCCGCTCTGGGCAATGGGCTGCATGACTGAAGGGGCAGGTGGAGGCCAAGCACAGGGCAGGAGGGCACCTGGCCAGTGCGCCAGCCTGGTCCTTGTGCCATCGTTGCCAGAGGAGGGTGGCGTTTCCAGAGTGTTCACATGTCCTTTCCTCCCTGTAGAGTGAGCTGCCCTTGGAAGACAGCACAGGGGGCGATGGCCCAGTCCACCTCCACGTCCCCTGACGAGGGAGCCACCTTCGAGCACCTCTGGAGCTCTCTGTGAGTATGTCTTGGGGCCCTGTGCTGGCCTGGGGCCAGCTGCAGCCTCACTCGTCAGCTGGCTGCAAGGGGACAGGGCACTCACCACCTCGAGGGCAAGCAGGAGGGGAGGCCAGCGGGAAGGCACTGAGGACACTAGGGACTCAGGGGCCCTGGGGCAGGAGACAGTGAGCTTCTCCAGGAGGAGAGATGGGCTAGCCTTGCACCTGGGGGCCCTGCTGGGCAGGATGCTGATGGCCTGTCCCCCTCTCCCCGGCCCAGGGAGCCAGACAGCACCTACTTTGACCTTCCACAGCCGAGCCGGGGGAATAACGAGGCTGCCGTCGGTGCCGAGCCCAGCATGGACGTCTTCCAGCTGCCGGGCATGACCACCTCCGTCATGGTGAGTGGGGCCGTCCTCTGCAGAGGCCTGGATGTTGGGCAGTAAATGTGGCCTGGCCTGTTGAGGGGGTCTGGAAGAAGCAGGAAGCAGGCCCTCAGGCGACAAACCCTGTGGTCCAGACCCTTCGAATTACAAAGCAGGAAATACATTGGCTGATGTAGCTGCCAGTGCAGAGGTAGGAATGGGTTCAATGCCGGCTGGATCCAGCGGTAGGAAGGGCTTCAGGCATGGCTGGGTCCAGATGTCCCACCTCCGCCTCCCTCTGTCTTGCCCTGCTTTCTCCGGGGGACTTCATCCTTCAGGGGCCTCTCACCACAGTGGGGGTTGCCAGTCTCCTCCTGTCCCTGTGAGGAGGGAAGTCCTCTGCCCATAGGCCAGCAGGATTCCTCTTGTTTGTCTGAACATGTCATTGCCTGACTCTGAGCCATCCCTGTGCCTCTGACTGGCTTGGTCCCCTGTCCCCATCCCTGTCCTCTGGACCACATAGGACAGAGAAGGGTAAGGTGGGCTCCCTAGGGGGAGGGGCCCAGAGCAAGACCAGAGGTCATTTCCATAGAAGGGGCTGGATGGGGCTGGCAGGGCAGTGGCCCCACTTGCCATCTCAGGGGTCTCCCTGCTCATAGGGAGTGGGGGAGCAGGTGGCCCCAGGACCTTGGGACTCCGCAACAGGAGCTCTTTCGGGCAAGAGACAGGCCACGGTGGTAGCAGATTGGGTCTGTACCTCCCTGTGGGTCCAGCCCTAGCTGGGCTGCGAGGTGGATGGGAGGCCGGAGGCACAGGGCTTTCATGGCGCCTGGCCCTGGGGAGACCCTTGAAGCCTACTGTTCTCACACCTCCCCCACTGGACCCCGGGGTGCTGGGTTCCCACAAGGCCAGAGGACAGACGCGGGATGTGTCTCTGCGGGACTCGTGGTGGAACTCTGCCAAGTGAGGAGGGAAGCGGAGCCCAGCTGAGCAGGCACATGCTGGAGGCAGAGGCTGGACAGCGAGAGCCCTGGGCAGGGCCTCGCCTCCCATGTGCCCAGCACCGGAGGACCTATGTGCAGGAGGGGGCAGCTGAGGACTCTGGAGGCCAGGAGGGTGCAGGCCTGGCCCCCTTTGCCCTAAGCCCCTTCTAGAACTTGGAGCCCTCCTCAGCACAGGGCGTCCCTGCCCAGCACCCAGGGCGATGGCCCAGTCCACCTCCACCGCTCCAGGGAGCAGGGTGGGAGGCAGGGGGCAGCCCAGGGAGCAGGGAAGGCTCCCCTGAGCGGACCAGCCTGGGGCAGGCGGCAAGCCCAGCTCCATTCCTCTGAGGAGCTGTTGCCGGGCTCTGGCCTTTGCCCCTGCTCAGGAGACTGCCCCGGAGCCAGCAGCCCGCCAGCACCTGTGCCCACGCACAGGTGAGGACCCCGAGGCAGAGGCAGGGAAGGGAGCCTGGGGCTCGGCCCCGTAGCGTTGCCCCTGACCAGGGTGACAGGGAAGCTCTGACCTCTGCCTCTCCCTTGCCTGCCGGCTGCTCCTTGGAGATCAGGGTCCTAATTCCTCCCTGGCCAGTGCCCCACCTGGACCCTGGTGTCCTCTAGTCTGGAGAGTCAGGAGCTGTCCACCAGGCTCCAGAGATGTTTGTCGCAGGAGTTTCAAGCTTCCACCTCGACCTCCAGCCGCTCAGATCACCCCCAAGAGGGCAGAGGGCCTTTGAGAACCCTCAGACCTGCCCCCGGTCACTGCCACCTTCTGAGGGAGGTCAAGGGGCAGTTCCAGGCCCCCGTGGGTGGGATGTGCTACCCAGCCCTGGCCCGGATGCCTGGTGCTGAGCGTGTTGGGCTGGATGCTCACGAGCCCTCGCCTGCTGGGGCACGCTGCTCCCAGCCGTGGGGTAACGAGGGTGGGGCCCTGCACCTCCGCAAACAAGGGGCCCACTCTGTCAGGTAGCGACACGCTCTTGGTAAAAGCCATGTATGAAATTCCTGGGTGCAGCTCAGTTCCCGGAGGTGGGGATTCCCTGGAACCAAGGCTGGCCAGGCCGGGCCCCCACTGTGCAAGCCTCACCCTGAGCCCGCTGCCTATTCCCTGTCTGCTCCCCGAGAACAGCCAACACAGCCCCCCACTCCCCCGACCCTCCTGCAGCCCCAACTGCAAAAGAGGAGGCACAGACTGCGGCACAGACTACGGCTGACCCGCTGGGGCGTCTGGCTGCAGGGACCCAGAACTCAGCTGCTGGAGGGCGGCTTCCCTGCCACAGGGGGGCAGAGGCTGGGCAGTGGGCACTAAAGCTGGACGGGGAGACAGCGTGGGCAGTGGAAGTGAGGTGATCAGAGTTAAATCTCATGAAACACACAGTTAAATTTTCCCAGCCTCCCACTGCTAGAGGGGAGAAGGACACAGAGAGACCTCTCGGGTAGCAGTCGGGGACAGGCATTCTAGCAGAGTGTGCACACTCGCGGTCATCCAACACTGTGGCCATTGGGAGCAGCCTGCGCAAAGCACAGTCTAATGGAAGTCTCAAGTGCGTCTTTGTAGGAGCGCTTTCCAGCCACGCGAGGTCCCTGGATGCTGCCAGGTGGTGCTCTGGGCTGCGGCCTGGTCTGTGGGAAGCGCCAGGCAGGGTGCAGCCTGAGGGACACAGGCACCAGCTCCAGAGCCACTGCCGGTCCAGGGCGGCCCTGCGGGACTCTTGAGCTGATCTGTCCAGTAGGGCTGAAGTCCAGTGGCTGAGGCCAGTGGCTCTCTAAGGGGGCTCTGGGAAGGTGTGAAAACACCCCGAGGGGGTCACTCTCACTGCCCAGGGTAGAGGGAGCTCATGCACGGCTCCTGTGGGGATTTGATGTCACTCAAACAACCACGCAGAGCAAACTCAGGCTCCGTGGGAATCCAAGAGTCCTGCAGCTGGCTGGCCTCGAGAGTGGTGGGGCCATTTTAAAACCCCAGGACAGGGGCTCATTTTTAGAGTCCACTGGGGAGGGTGCTGGGCTGCTGAGGGCTGGGGCACATGGGCCCACTCTGCTGAGGCTGGGGAGGGGGTCTCTTGAGTGCAGTCCCCCACCCCTGGGGACTGTGCTGCCTTGGGTTTCTGATCCTAGTCCCACCTCCAGCTCCACCCAGAAGAGGCGCCATCAGGCTCAGCCTTGGGTCAATGGGCACTTCGGGCATCTGAGGGGCCCAGGGCTCTCAGCACCCCTGACTCTGTACTCAGAACGAGCCTCAGTACCCTGCCCTTGGTGCTGAGCTGTCCCCAGTTGGGGGGATCTTACAGCGAAGAGCATGTGGGACATCCACTTTCTGGGGTGTCCCCTTCCACCTTTGGGGGATCTGGAGCAGGCAGATTGGCTCCCTGATGGACGAAAATTTCCTGAATGAGATCTGCCAAACCATTGGAGCCAGGGGTGCCCTTAGCTGCTGGCAGAGAGTGGCTGAGCAGGTGGGTCCAAGTCCCCACGTGCCTCCGTGTCTTGATTGTGAGGTTGGCTGATGGGTCACAGGCCCAGAGCAGGAGGACGTGGGGATACATAAGCCTCTTACATTGGGGGAGGGCCACACCTCCGCCTCTGGTCACCTCCAGCCACGCTGGCCAGCTGAAGAAGCTGGGTTAGGCAATCAAAGGGAACAGGGTGGACAGGAGCAGCTGGGCCCCCGGTTGGCCTTGGAGGAGGCCATGGGTCTTGTGGCAGGCCAGAAGGTCTCTGTGGCCACAGGACCCAGACAGCCCAGGGTCTCGGGCTGTGGTGGCTGTGGGGGCTCTGAGGCCAGAATTCCAGGCTGGGCAGCTCTTGGGGCTTTCTAACCTTTCTGGGCCTTGGTGTCCCTGTCTGTAAACAGGGCCACTAAGGGGTTCTAAGTCCTCTGGGGCTGAGGGCAGCAGGTGGTGTGTGGCCTGTGAGGGGGATGTGACAAACACCAGGCTCACGGCAAGGGCGGGAGGAGGCCCGCGTTGCGAAGCCGAGCCCTCGGAGCCTCAGAACAGTTTTGCAGAGGAGGGCCTGGGCCCCAGAGCTTCTGACCCCCTTGTCCACCTTGGTTCCTGCTGGTGGAGCTCCTTGCCCTCAGTGGAGGCCCTCAGTCCTGGCCGTCTCTGCAGACCCAGGTGGCTCACAGGCCCTCACTAAATCAGAGCCGTGTCCTGCCAGAGAGAAGCCTCCCAGGGCTGGAGGCAGGGCCGGGAGTAGGGGCCAAGGGCTCAGGTGAGCGTGTCCAAGACTGGCTCAGCCCTGCCCCGACAGCCCCCTTGTGCCCTGCAAGAGGGAAGGCTTCCATCAGGATGAGGGTCACCCCTGGCCACACTTTCTGGGAGGACAGAGCCGCACAGTAAGCACCAGTGGGTGCCAAGCAGGCAGAGGGCTGCTGTGGGGACAGGAATCATGATTTTCTCCTGTGCTCAGCATCGCGAGCCCTGGCCTTGGAACAAATCTGTTCCCTAGCACCCCCTCGACCACATGAAGGGGGGCACTGAGAACCCGAGGCCCAGCCAGCCCCAGGGAGGATGCTGAGGGCCCCGGCGCAAAGGGAGGGGGGCAGGTGCTGGCCAGAGCCCTACAGGCCCTGAGGCTGCGCCTGCCCCACAGTGCCCCTTCCCGCCTCTCCTGGCGCCTGTCTGTGGTGACAGCTGCTGTGGGCAGGTGGGCCACCGGGGAGGAGGGGCACTGTGGGAGGAGGTGCTGCGGTAAGCGGGGGATCTGCCTGGGCCCACAGTGATGGACACCCAAGCTAGAGCCTATGGACACCCCTGGGGTCACCCAGGGTAGGACTTCCCAGCTTGGGGAGTGGGCATGTCTCCCCAGGCCCCAGAGAAGGGTGAGCAGGTTCCCCGAGTGCACAGCCCTGGGAATGGGTGGGGAAGGGTGCCCCTTTCTCCCCAGAGTGTCTACAGTCTGAGAAAGGGACAGAGCTCCACCTGGTCAGCTCTAAGCCGCACCCAGCCCACCACCGCCACCTGTGAGCCCTCCACGAGCTTTAGTGGCAAGGGACCTTAGGGAACGAACTCCAGCTAATCCCTGCCCCCAGCCCTCAGCATCACAGAGCCC